CCACTAAGTTTAAGTAGATTCTTATCACAAGCAATAGAAAGCTTAGGAATAGGAATCAGGCTTCCTGGATTTTTTTCAAAGGAAGTGTAGTATGGGGGAAAAAACTGTCCCTGATAGCAAAATTTACTTAATACAGAGGCTTTGAAATATAAATTATGTCAAATAGTCCTTGAATATGCTGTGCAAACAGGTGCACAAATACCAAATACAGCATGGGTCATTTTACCTTCCCTGCCTTCAGCCTTTCCTTTTCCTTTGCTCCTTTCCTTCCATACTCTGTCTCTTTCTCTCTCTCCTCCTTCTCTCCCGCTCTCTCAATCTCTCTCTTTCTCTCTGTGAAGGTCATGCAATTGATTTTCCTCTGTCTATTCATTTTTCAAGACTGGCTTTGAAACGTGGGAAGCAGACAAAAGCCACTCCGGCCCCTCCCCTGCGCTCCATCCCTCTCCTCTCCTCCACCCTCCACCTTCCTTCCCTCTCCGCTGCCCATCCAAAAACCCCGGACAAGAGGGAATGTGGAGGAATGCAACCCCCACCCCCCAGCACACCCCATCCCAATTTCCTCGCACTCTTCTCCTTCTTCCTTCCTCCTCTCTTTCTGTCTTTATTCCTCCTACATTTGTTCCTTCCCCTGCTCTCTGGCCTCCGCTCCCTTTCAGCCAGATCTCTGACCACATTCCACTAACGGAATTAAAGTCATGCATCACACTTAAAACCCTGCCAATGCATTGTGGGTAGACTTGTTCAAACTGATGTCCAAATTAGCATTGCATTTTCAATATAGGCCCTGTGGAGACTGTGTGACCTGCTTGTAAGAAATCTCCAAATATTTAATTAAATACTTAACAGATCAGATGTTGACCTAGTGGTAAGAATGTGAAAGATAATTCACAATTTTCTCGACCTTCACGTAGCAGCTTCCGCGGGGGCTCTATATATTTATCGTTGTGGCTCACATTTGTACGAGAAGTGCCTCTCGTTGTAGCGTAAACCGCACACCTCACATCTTTTCAGCGCACTTCCACTTTGTACACAGGGCAAGAAGCACTACTACCTGCACACCAACTATGCTGAACAGGAGGTATTTTCTATCAAGGCCAAGAAAAGTCAGGAATACAGAGGAAAAACAATTCGCAATTCATGCGTAGAGTCAAGGCTGCGGCTGTGTGTATGGGTGCTAGTATATGAATATCACTCAGACAATCAGATTGTCCTGCGCAGAAAGGATGATGAGATATTGATGTACAACAATGGGCTGATGCATAGGAATACATGTTTTCACACACTATGACTGTAGATTAGACTCAAGTTGCAACAGGATGCAGTTCAAAGTTCTTTAAAAGCAATATGTTGGCTTTGAGGTCATCCATGCTATTAAGTGGTCAGATATATACCATATCTAATCTTTAAAGCCGTCCTACATTGCCCCTTAGGGCCCAGAAGTCACCATGTGCAACTTGTCTGTATGTACAGCCTGGTTCTACTGGAGGTTTCTTCATGTTAAAAGGGAGTTCTTCCTTCCCAATGTCGCCAAGTGCTTACATTTAGAGGGTCGTCTGATTGTTGGGGTTTCCTCTGGATTATTGTAGGGTTTGTATCACACAAGCACTGGCAATTTGAAAGCTACAACTATGACAAAAATGTACTTAGACCATATTAGAAGTTAATTTTTTTTCTAATTCAGCTATCTCGTGAATATTCATTTTCCTTTATGGCCATGTATACATCAGTAACTTATTTTATTTGCATGTTGACTTTAAATCTGGTATATCGTTGTTTTACTTTTGAGTTTCATAACATAACATAACATGAGTTACATAACATTTTTGCAGTGCTTAACACCTTTTTAAGCTGTTTTGATTTCTTTGTTAGTCTCCGTATACTGTAAGCCTCAGTTTAGCTTCACTGACGATCATATGATGGCCTACAGTTCGTGATGTTATTGTGTCTCTGGTGGTTTTTATGTTTTGGCTTCTGGTAAGAATTCAGTGTTGAAACATCCTGTGTTCTATCCACGTTTTGTGTGTTACTTGTAGTAGCTGTTGTAGTAATCATCACCCCCATGTTTCCATTTGTGCCTTCTTCTGTCTCGTTTCTATGTTCATGCTCTGGTCACTTTGCGTTTTCTTGTCTTGTACATCTTGTTAAGTGTTAGTATTCATATCTCTATCAGTCTCTTTTGGTTATTTTCTGTTTTACTTTGAAGGCAGGTTTGCATCCTGTGTTCGTTTTGTGTCCTGTCTTCACCTGTGTGTGATTACTTTCACCTGTGCCTCATTACCTTCCACTCTGTCATTTCCCTGTCAGCATTCTGTGTATAAACAATCCTGCTTGCCCTTGTTTGTTTTGTTCCCAGAGTGGGTTCCTCATGTGCAGCCAAGTGGTTTTCCCCTTGCCGTGTGTAGAAGGCTGCTGGCGCCCGAGGACTTCATTTATTTCTGAACTTGATACAGCATTAAAAGCTTGATTTTGTTAAGTCGTTTTGCTTCCAAGCTCCCATATTTGGCTCGACACCTCTACACTCGATATCCCTCGCAGTGAGGCCTTGGATTTTGGCATTCATGTGGATGTTTTACACCTACCAACACCTAAACATTGTTGGAAGTCAAGCTGATCAAGAAGGGTTTGAAACCGAGCGAATGACTCATCTTCCAAGCTGCCCAGTTCCCAACCTTTTAGCACACCAACAGATACAAGCACAATCCTCAACCCACAGACCCAAAGGGATCCACTGACAACATCTGAGGTCTCAGGTCATGTACAGGTCCTGTTTCCATCTTCCTGTGGGACCTACAATATTAGCCTGTGGGTGATTTGTTTATATAAAACTTCCCATTGATGCTTATATCTTAATTCTTTCATAATGGAATACGTCTTTAACGCTACACCTTAAATTAGAAGTCTCCGAGCAAAAAAGAAGATATTACATGAGTGTTTTCATGTGGTGAGCGATGTTCCAGATGAAAACCGCATTGACCTTAAAGATACTTTCAGCTTCTCCCTCTTTTCCCACGGGGTCACAGTAGATGGATCCACATGTTTGATCTGGCACAGATTTTGACACCAGATGCCTTTCCTGATATAACCATCCCATTTATCGAGACTTATGACCGACGTTAGGAGTAGGCTAGCTCTTGACACCCTGAGGCTGCGGTTGTGTCTTTCACAAGTAACGCGAAGGTGTTAACAAACTACACCATGGAACCACGGAAAACCACACTGACCTTAATGTGTAAAAATTTCATGATGCCCCCAAAGGATACTGGGAAAAGAACTGGTTTGGTATTTTTTACTATAACGTCACACTCAGACAGCACTGGTAGCATTACTGGTACTCACCCCATCAGGAAATGCAGTGCATAATGTGGGTAAAGCACACCACATGCAGTCTCACAGAAACATGCTGTTAATACGACAGGTTTTTTTTGTTCACATTTCCTCAAATTTACCAGGAACAGGCACAAAGGCGGACACACACACACACGTCTATTTGCACTGTAGCTGCATCATTTCCCCTCAGTAATAGTAGCAATTAGACAGGCTATATAATTACACTGTCCTCGTTATATAGTTAATTTCAGTAATTACAAATTGCACCAATAGTTTCCTCCCTCTTTTTTATTATCTACCCCTTCTCCTTCTCTTTCTTCCTCCTAATAGACACACACTCACAGACACACGCAAACACACAGTTGCGTGTCCCTAACTTAAGAGGACATCAATTTGACTTACAATAATTACCTGGAGTCTTGATCTAAGCTTAACCACTACTGCTACTACTCGTCTAATCACAACCTGAAACCTGAACCCGACCTCCCCCTTAAATGGGTCTTCACTTTAAAATGACTATTATAGGGACTTTGCTTTTTTTCCACATAAGGAAAACATGTTTTTGGAGTTTTGTCTATAATATGAGTAATATTTATGTGCATACACACACAAAAAACATAGATTTTATTCATACTCACTCTTGTCTATGTAAAATACTTGTATGATTATTTGCATGTGTGTTACAGGGGAAAAAAAGAAAACGCATGAGCTTGTTTGCACGCATAGACAGTGGCAGTAATTACTATTGTTAATAGGAGGCTGGATCAATACCCCAGTCCGAACTGAATTTTTGTGGCGTGGGGTGTCACTGTGGGTAGGAGTACGTAGGCAGAACAGACAGCTGAGGTCTGCTTCTGATTGAAACAGAGAAGTGAGTCGAAATATGAATTTTAGTGGTTTGCGTCCTTTGGCAACAAAGCAGCATATTTATCTCTGCTATATAATTTTCATATTGGCTGAAATGTAGGAATCATCGGCAGAAAGTGTTCCACATATTCCACATATGCGTGTTTAATTTAATCCTGCATATTTGCACATTGCTTTTGTCAAGGTTGAATTTTGTGAACAGATAACAACAACCTACTCGTGACATACCCAGAAAAAAGTGTCAACACTTAACCAGTCATAGAGATATTTTCTGTTACCAGGATGTTTTTTTAAAATACAATTTTAATTCAAGGACAAGACCCTCAAAAAGACCTTAAAAATGTGTTATCTAGATTATCATATTTTAGGCAATTATTCACTAGTATGTCACTACTAGGGCATTTTGTTACTCAGCTGGAAAGCATAATACTTTTCCAATCCCATCCCAGGCTCTGAGAAAATGTTAACTTTGGTAAGAAGAGAAAAAGGGAAAGTACTGAGTCTACAGCTCTAAAACTCATTCAGTCTGGGACAAATATGATATCTTAATGCAAACACACTGCTGCTACATTTGATGTTAAAGTCAAATAAACAAAAAAAGTTGTTTTTAAGTTACATTTTTAAAAATGGTGCACCAGAATTTGCTTCATTTTCAATGTAAAACCCACATTTAGAAGGTTTAGATCATTGTACATATTTCTTTTAGTTGAAAACATAAAACCTAAATTTTCTTCGTCATCTTCTTTGTAATATCTCAGTCACAAAAACTTTTCTTTTCATGTGATTGCTTGTTTCTTGCTCACCTTTGCTGCAGTTGCTGTCTCCCTCCAGCAGAGGGCTCCAGGGTGGGTCCCCCTGACTGGCAAAGGTCCGCATGTGCAGGTAGCTGATGGTCAACCGGATGACCGAAGCTTTGTCCAGTTGGCTTGTGATGGCCCCGGGCAGTGGCAGCATCTTGGCCAGCTCAAAGAACTCGAAGTTCTCCTTCCCCCGCCGAGAACGAGCCGCATTGCGAGATTTCTCTTTACGCAGGTTCTGGAGACTGAGATGTGGACAGGGAAGTCGGTATGAGGACGAACGGGACAAGGGCGAAAGTGGTGCAGAGGGTGAAAGACAGAAGTAAAATGAAGGAACAGATAAACACAGGGAGAAAGGATCAGAGGGGCTCACAAATCTGAATCAGCGCGACGCAAGACAAGAAAAACTGATGGGCTATCGCTTAATGGCCATTTGCTGACCACCTGTTGATTGATTCGTGCTCTGTAAAAATGACCTCAGCATCAGTCTGAAAAACTCATTTCATAAATACACATAATGGGAATGGCTCCTGCAATTCAAGTGAAACAATCTCCATTCTGACCCATCTCTCGCAGATTGGCCTGGTAATTACAGACAAACTCGCTTCTTTTATCGGGCAGAGCAGAGTCCTAATAATGCCATTTGCTCCAAAATCCATATGTGAACACATACACACAATTTCTCACTGCCTATTTTTTCTTACTCTCCCTCGCTCTCACCCTCTCCTCTCACCCTCTCCTCCCCCGCCCCAGCTCCCCCTCTCATCTGGTCCCGGGCTAGTGAGCTGAAGCCATGATTGAGGGATCAATAGGCGAGGGAGGGGCAGAGTGACAGAGGGGGGCCGGGGCTCAGGTAGCCTGTCTCTGTGATTGGGTATTGACTCTCCTCAATGGGGCCTGAGTGGTGGAATTATGTTGTCACAGCCACTTCACAATTTGTGTCGGTGCTGCGCTGGGATAAAGTGTGTGTATGTGTGTGTTAGAGACACAGAGAGAGAGAGAGGAGAACCAGCCATTCTCCCTCGTGTCTGTGTTGTTGATTTTCATCCGTAGACAGACCACCGGGTGGTGTGTGTGTGAGTGAGTGAGTGTGCGCGCATACACGTGCGACAGAAGAAAAGAACAAAGGAAAGACGTGCGCATATTGTGCTTACATATGTTTGTATCTTAATCAGCTGACACAGCTGTTGCGTTTCTCCCTGTTAGGTTCTAATAAGTGAAATCAGTGTGTGTGTGTGTGTGTGTGTGTGTGTGTGTGTGTGTGTGTGTGTGTGGTGTCAGCATGGTTGCAGTGGTGCCAATGGACTCTCATTTTTGTCACTCTAGCCGAACTGTAGTACATCGTCTCTTCACATCTCCAGCTATACACGTTCCCTCGCAGATACAAGGCTTTGTTTGGATCAATAAAGAACTGCAGTGTCCTAACCTCCCCCTCATTTTAAATATGACCCTGGGATACCTCTGCTGTAAAATCCACATGAGATCCAGTCTGCCTCTTAGCAGTGCAGGATAATCTGACACAAGCTCAATTTTCGGGGTATTTCAAATTAAAAATTGCTTTTGCGTAATGAAATGTCAGTGTAATGTTATCTGTGTGTATTACAATCTTACAGTTATCCATGATTTCTTTGTGTAGAGTTCTTTTTTTATATCCGCCTGTAAATTACTTCCCATTAATAATTCCAGCCAAATTTACTTAATCTCCCACTAAGGGTGGGGGACTCGCAACTCTGACAGGATTGGCAGGTGAACAACAATACAGGTGATATGTAGCACTAAGGAGAAAAGCGTATGTTTCTGGATAATGTTTCGTTGATAAAAAAAAAAGAAAAGAAAAGCTTCTTCAGACTGTCAGTGAGTGCAAGGGTGTTAATGCATGTATTTCATCTTGCAGAGATTAATTCATGGGCATGCACGTAGGCTTATACAGTTTCAGCCTGTGTGTGTGCATGTGTTTGTGTGTGTGTGAGAGATGTCTCACCAGGGCAGGGTGGGAGGTTTGGCCAGTAGTCCTTGCAGGAAATCCCACTCCACACTCACACATTTCCCCTCACTAACAAATGGCATGGTTGCCATCCTTCCTCCAATCACGTGCCCACGCCGCTGTTAACGAAGGCTTCGATTGGCTGAGGACGTGATGGACTCAGACCTGGAGATTCACAAAAAGAAAGGAGAGAAGTGACAAAGAGACAAATGGGGGTGAGAAAAAAGAGCCAAGAACGATACTATCAAGAACTGCCAATGAAAGCCGCAATATAATCAGGAACTACAGGCAGGAAGACGCATGGCATTTTTGGGTTGTTTCCATCAAAATTGATGGTTTAATCCCCCTTTTTTTAAAGAAACACTAGAAAAACTCTTAAACCTGCTTTTAATTTTAAGAAAACAATGACACTTTATCTCTTTTTACAGTTTCCATTCAACACTTTTAATTTGACTTTTGACTATAATTTGCATCCAAAAGCTTGGGTGAAAATTGATCCCATCTTGTGATATCTTAATGAAGGCAAGAGTGATTAATTTAAAAGAAGGGAAGAAAGAGATTGAGGCAGAGTAATTAGGTACCGTGTGTACTTCCCTACATAAAGGTCAGTGGCTGCTCCCAAGATAACAGACATAAGACAAAACACTAACCCTCCTTTGAAGTCACACTTACTCTGAAAATCACAGATCTCAAAATGTCTCCCTTCATCCCAGAGAGAATATTCAAACCTGTGTGTGACTCGCGTTTAAACCGAATATGTCTGAAGACAAAACACCCCGCCCGTCCCAGATCTTTTGCTGCGTTGTGCCAGCTTCTAACACCCTCCTGCAGTAAAAAATCACTTGCCAATATTCTTTCCTGTCCTCAAACAGAGCGCCGCTCCTCACCAGTTTCCCTCCCCTCTGTGCTGTGTTGACATTTAAAGGGCTGGTGTGGCCCCGAGCACCCCAGTGTCATGCCCTTGGGCCTGAGATGCCCTCTCTCTCTTTCGTTCTGCCTCTCACTCTCTCACTTCCTCTTTCTTTGGCCTGGCTGGGTCAGCACAATCATGTCAGTAGAGCTGTGCCAGGGCAAAAGAAAATGGATTATGTCTCGAGTTTGAGCATGGCTATGCTGACCTTGGCTAAGAGGGGTCAGCAGAAGCTCGGCAGGTTTGGCAGATATCATTTTGCAAATCTGGGCGAAAAGAGCCAACATTTAATGCATTTGGACAGAGTTCAAAGGCAGAGGAGTCAATAATCAGTTCAACAAAGGCGGAATAGTTGTTGAAAGGGAAGAGTGGGTCATCAACTTTAATAGTTTTACTCTGTATTTAGGCCGCAACAGTGAAGCAGAAATGTAAAACTTCTATTTCGAACATGCTCTGAGGTCAGTAATCCAAAGGAACTGAAGAGGTAGTTCTAGTAGGGAATATTTTGTTCACAATTATGCAATGCATGTACAAAAAGCATGCAGTAACAGTAAAGGAAAAGTAAGGAGATCGCTAGAATCAGCACGCCTTATCCTCCACTATGAATGCTTTACATCAAAATCCATGTAACTGCAGCTGAAATATTTCAAGCTGGATCAAACTGGGGACTGACCACCTGACTGTGGCTATAATTTATGAACTTTTATACCTGCAGATTGTTACTGCAGTCCAAGATGAAGCAGAGAAGGGCAATCTTATCTGTGTTTATTAAAGACATGGAAGAATAAACTGGTGCTGTTCATACATTAGTGCACTCCTAATGTTAAATGCTCTAGCTCTTCAGAGTTATTTTATGTGAAATCCAGACAATTTGCCTACAAATTGATTGCCTGTTAAGTAAATTTAAATCAGCAGGAAAGCAATAAAGCTGCAAATTTAATGAGTTTGGTTAATTTTCCAGATTTAACATCTTCCCTGGGTATTCGAATTGGCAGAATATTCCTAGCCTTAAAGTTTTAAGGCTCGGGCTTTACTCCAACATAGGTAACCTACAGTAGTTGTTGTGTGTGTGTATAGTGGTTTCATAGTACTACAGTATGTGTGGTGTGTATATATATATATATATATATATAATATATATATATATATATATATATATATATATATATATATATATATATAGATAGATAGATAGATAGATAGATAGATAGATAGATACTAAAGTTACCAGCCTGCAACATTGACAGTCTTTTCCAAGAGTCTGCTGGAGAGAAGACAGGGTCGAGCAGAGGGCATTGCACCTCTGTCTAACAACTTCACCTTTGTCACCTTCTCCACCTCGCCAGGATAAATGCACTACATGCCAAATTGGGCTGTGTACAGTAGGACAAAGAGATCAAAAGGAGACACAGACAGGAAGCAATTTACTCTCAATTTTTCACCACGCACACAGGCGGAAGCCTCTCTTCAACCTATACCTGTATGTTTATCTCTTAATTGACCCTATCTGTGCTTATCTAATCTCTCCTTTCATCTTTCTGTCTCAAACTATCTCTCCATCTCTGTCTCTCTCTCTCTCTCTATCTGGGCAGACACACAGGGGCGTAATGGACAGGGACCTCCACAGTATTTATTCAATCAGCCTCATAACCTTGTCGCTGGTTGGTCGGCCCATTAATGCACTCACCCAAATAGACCCCGCCACTTTGACTGCTAATGCTCCAGCTAGCTAGCAGCACAACAGGCTTCTGAATGTCAGAAGTGTCATCTAGACGGAGAGTGTGAAACAACCCCACTCGAGAGAAGCGAGTCAACTTATTCTGTCATGGCACAGTGGGAAATTTATGAAAAAGAAAAGTGTAACTTCTGAGAGCACTGGAAGTAACAAAAATAAAAAAAATTAAAAAATAAAATACTGTGCCCACAGCTGTAGAGATCAACTTGTATCAAGTGTGACCGCAGGTGTTCACAATGTTGCTGCAGTGCTCCATATTCATAAGTGTTGTGCATGTGTGCCAGCCTGAGTGTGTGCGTTTGAGACCCCTACCCTATAGAGCCGTGCACTCTTGGCTCAGCCTCAGCAGCAACAGAAGAGGAGGGCACTGCGGCGAGCGCTCACAGCCGCTGTTTGCAGTGCGCTTCTCTCTGGCTGCTTGCTTGGCTCCTGCTCTGTTTATTTTCAGCAGGGACGTTTAATTAGGGCCTCCAGCTGTCAGAGGTTCGTTAGCGTGCCCCTCCTTTCCCCGGGCCGCCCCTCCCCATGGGGAGTCAGGGGCATCAGGCAAATGAACACATTTAAGTCAAACAGCACGCCGACAGACAATAGCTCCACTGCCATGCCACCAGCTCCCCTAGGTAGAGACATGGTTGTTTTATGCCTCATCTCCCCAACCCCTGGGGCCCAATACAGAGGCTGGCCAAGACTGCCAATGTGGAGGCAGAGGAGTTCTCATTGCCCACTAGAGACTACATGCACACTGCACTCATGTAAAAAGGGGAAGAGCAGGACCGAGCCTGTGCGATTTATAGTTTACAATAAAAACAACAGTTTCAGAGGATTTTTCACAAATTTTGGGGATTAAAAAATATCAAAGAAATATGTAAAATGTTGTTTTAAGGGTTGTATACATTAACAACACAGCAAAGAATTATTTTAGAAGAATTGTTTGCTCTGTACAGCAGAATAATGGTGACCTTCGCAAACAATCAAAGTCACACTCTGGGCTCCCTCCCTAGCTGGGCTGCGAGGACGTTAGTGTGTGTGAGACCCTCCCTTTGAAACCCTTGGACCTCCCTGTGTTTATAAGGAGACAAGAGTCAGTGGGAAAGTGGGAGTGTAACCCAGAGTGTTCAGGTGGTGCACCGAAAAACTATTTTATTTGTGTTAATTACCTTACTTAAGTGCAATTATTTTATTTCGGCTCAGAGCGAGAGTCTTTACTGCTGCTTTCCTGCTCTCTCTGCTGCTTTCTGTATCGCTGTGCGTGCTGTCTACTAAAAACGATGTTCTCATACAGCTACTGCATTCTCAGTTACATGTCAAGGCAAATAAAATTCTGCCTCACTCTGTTTGTTTGTCATGTTTTACAACTGTAATCAACTCATCTAAAGATGTGACTCGTCACCCTGGAACTCTGAAAATAGAGAAGGCGCTTTTTCATGCGCTAAATGATGTAAAAATATCTGGTACAACCAAAACTAGATCTAACCAAGGAGTTTAGTTGTCTTAGCCATGGCTTTTGTTACCAACCAGTAGCTGAAAGAAAACTTACAGGAAAAAAAAACTAGTTAAGTATAAAACAAGGACTCCTTAATGGGAGTAGAACTTCATTCTCCTCAATGAAAGTCTTACAGATTATGTGTATGATGCCGCTGTCCTAGTGCATCACGCAGAGGCTCTTAATGTTACTTTTTGCACTTTTAGATTTTTTTCTTTCGCTTAAAATAAGTGAAAAAACTGTATTATTTTTAGTACATTTTAGAGCAAATACTGATTGATGGCCTATTGCGAAGGTCAGGCTAATCAGGGCTGAGCCTGATTCACAAAATCTGCTAAATCCAAGCAGAAAGTTTTACACATTTACATCAAGTAAACCTACAAAAGCTTTGTTGAACTTGCAACTATTCCTGTAATTTACAAATGATGGAAAATTCTGAAAGATGACAGCTCTCATCTGCCATGTGCTCACAAGTTATTTTTGTAAAGCTGTAAAAAGCCTGGTGTTGTCTTTCAACCTCTCGATCTCCTCCGTTTTCATGCCCACAGCTGAATAAAAGCTTCCCCCACTTAAATACAAAAAAAAGGTTTTAACATTCAAGGCCCATTTAAGACATATGCAGTTCAGTTTTCAGTGCAATCAAAATTTAACTGATAATGCTTTCTTGACAGCTCTCCTCTGTTCTTCATTCATCCAAGTCTAAAGGTAAAAGTAAAGTATATACACAGTACAACAGTGATGAAGCATTCCTGTGAATAAAATTTGATCAAATCGAGAACGTTCAATATCATGGAAGATGTAGAAAACACGGTTGGAAATAACATGAACAGAATATTTGATGTAGCTAGTTTTCTATCTTGCCTTTCATGTTGTTGAGTAGTTGTAAATGAGTGTCTGGAGTGTCTGGGGAGATGAAGTTTGGTATTCTGGTTGGAGGGCTGAAAACTACTTATCATGCATTACGGCCATGGTTGGACCTCAGGATTTGGAAGTCAAAAGACTTTTTAATGTACAATTTTTCAGCTGCTGATCAATCGGCGGCTTCTGGACATGAAGATCTCTCTCCCTCCTCTCTCGCTCAGCATTCCATATTCCAAACTCGCTCGGCATTCTGCTTCCGTATCGGAGCTCCGGCTCCGATTGACCTTGACGACTCTGGATGATTCCCAACCCAAGGTTCTCTCCAACTCTCAAGGGCCTTGGCGTCTGCAGCTACCCCTCCCTCACACACACACACACACCCATCCACCAATTTTGCCTCTCCCATCATCCTCATCACACATCCCTCTCCTATAACCTCTCCTTTGCTCCTCCCTGGCCCTTGGCTGGATCATTAATTATCTAATGGAATCAATACGGCCTTAGATTGGACCAGTGTGACCCCGCCCGCCCCCAGGTATCTCTGCGTTGATGAGGAGGAAGAAAAAGTGTTTGGAACGGGTGTAAAGGAATGATAATAACGGCACCGTGTGTTCGTGAGAGTGAAACACCATCGTACACAGCGTGGACTGTCCCTAAACCGAACGAATACAGAATAAAGAGATCAGCAATAAATAAATGATTGGAGAGGGAGAGGGGGTGGATGGGGAAGGCATGGGGGGATGGAGAGAGCATAAGTAGAGGCAGATAGAGGCAAATCAGACAGTCAGAGAGAGAGGGAGAGTAGTAGTGAAATGATAGACAAATAAAGAAAAAGATGGGAAAAAAAGGAGAGAGAAAGAGATTTACTAATGTTCACCCTAATCAATATCTTTGTCTTTCTCCTCTTTTATTGCAGAAGGCTTTGGTGAGCGCTCTTTGATGTCCACTCCTAACCGGTGTGGAGATACACAGAATCCAATCCATGCCTGTCATAATTACCGTCTGACTTGGCCCCAAGTGTACACAAAAGGAGTGCTTGACTGCACCTGCACTGTATCAAATGTGAAGCTGAAGCTACCATTACACAGAAAACCATATTTACAGCAAAAATGATGTATCCCCTGCAGATTGCTCTGCAGATTTATTTATTTTTTCATCATACGAACTGAATGCAATCCCTTTCTTAGTAATTCAATTAATGAAAAAGACCCGTCGCCTGCTGAGTCCGAAGGTCTACAGTCATATTGCTATAGAAGCAACCACATATACAAGATAATCCAAATAGTGCATGAAAGTATGTTTCAAATACTTTAGTCCTACAGCAGGAGAAAAACAAGTTCTAGGGTTAGGCTTCCCTGTTGGTAAAAGTAGTCTGCATATGGCAGGAATAATATTTCAGTTCCAATTTAATACACTAGATATTTAAATAGTGCACCAGAGCAACTACAAAGTATTAACAGGAGTACAAAACATTAAAACATGGATATGGCTGAGGGGAAAATGCAGTAAAAAAATTGCATTAAGTAAGTTAGTTAAAATGTTCCGTCCATCATTAAGTTAACCATCTTTGACCTTTATGATTTATATGCTTCAAACAGAAACCCCCGAGCACAAGGTTAAATAATAAATGCAGTCTATTCTGGGGTTAAATACTCCAACATTAATGCTAGGGAAGGCTTGAGGTGAAAAGTGAGACTTCAAATACTTTTTCTAAAAAGAATGTCAGTGTGCTCACATGTAAGGGGAATACTGATAACATTCCCACATATTGCAGCGTTTCCTATTTTTTTCAAGCGCTCCCAAAATCTAAGCTAATAGTGAGCGAACACCAAAAGGGAGAGAGAAGGCAGAAACTTCTCCCTCTCGCTGTGGAAGAGTCAGCCAAGTGGATGCAGCTCTCTATACGGCTGAAGATGGTAAATCCACTCCCGCAGGCAGAGACCACATCAGCACTGACCTCCAAATAACCACAGGCCAGAGAACAGCACACAGGGTCACTCAATCTCTCCAACACACACACACAAACAGCAATGTGTGTGCTCAAACCAGGACTTGAAAGCACACTCTAGCTCTGCACACCAGCACAGAGAAGTCCACATGCTAATATAGACACATCAATTAGCATGGTGCAAATGTCAGAGTTCAGAGCACCGTCGAACAAGATGTGTAGGTGTCTGGCAGTACACTTGGGGGAACCAGGATACCCGCCGGGCTCATGCTATATTTCCACACAGATGCGTTTTGGGTTTTTTTTGTACATTTCCAGATATATTTTGCGTAAGTTCTACTTAAACTATAAAGTAGAGATTGTAAAGAAAAAGACACGAAAGAGTGAGGATTTACGCTCTGAAGCCCACACCTGATCTGGTATTCCATCTAGAGGGAAAGTGTCTGCAAACGTGGACATCCATACATTGTGTGCATATCACTAAATAACTGTGTCTGCGAGTGTTTGCGCACAAAAGAGTGGTGGATCCCTTCAGGCTGGTGTGTGAATGACAGCAGGGGTTATGTAAGGAGCCACAGCGGGGCCGGAGTGGACAGTCCGACCGGAGATCAGGTCAGCAGAGTGTGACACTAAACACATCTCTCTGACACTGCGCTGACACCCTCTGTCACAGACCCACACACTGTCTGTCAACGCTCTTCACACATACACTGGCACGCACGCACGACGGGAGCTGGAAGTGTGTGAGCGGCTGTCTGTCAACACGCCACACACTGACCACGTTGGTGTGTGTCTGTGTGTGGAAGAGAGCAACAGAGAGAGACAAAAATATCAAGAGAGGAATAGAAAGAGGAAGGGAGAGGCGAGGCGAGGTGTCTGTCTACCTGAGAACTTGTCAATGAGTCAAAAAAAGTGGCTGCCTGCCTCTGTCAACTAACCAAGATAAATTCCTAAAATGCCTACCTGCTGTTGCGCTTCTGAAATGAGCAATTTTATCCACTCGTGTGATCATCGTTTATGCAAAGCGAACAAAGAAAAACATCAGAAATGCACGCCAGCCCTGATCTTTGATGAGCTGAAAAAGAGGTGATCTCAGAGCAGCCTTTATCACATTTCCCCGTTTCTTTTTTCTGCAGTCTTCAAACAGGGCTCTTACCAACATTTCCACTTTCACACAGTAATCCGAGTCAGCTTCTGTCACACAGTTGCCCTTTGGCATAAACTGCAGCTCCCTGAATGCAAAAGCCAAAGAAGAAACCTGCATCTGGGACTAATAAAAAAGGCCCGAAGGTAGGTCAGGACCAAAGCGTCCCGCACACGCAAGAAGTGAAACGGATGGGGAAGCTTGGTGGCTCAGTGGGTCGGGGTATAAACTGTACCGTGCTCATGCAATGACTCGGCCTGACCCTGCTTCATGTCAGTGTTCTGATCCAGTCTTTACTCATCTAATGCCGATTTTTTAAAAGTGGGGGGAAAAACTGAAAAATTACACCAGTGTGGACGGTAACTTTTTTTTTTTCTAACTGCTGGTAACATTTTGACACCCGAGTGAGGAAGTCTGCACTGAACGTACTTATTTGGTTGGATTTTATCTGCAGCACCTGCAATCTCAGCAGGTGTGGCTGCAAATGATGCTTTAGGTGGCGTACGAGACGGAGCAGAATTTATAACAAACACATGCCACTGATTTCAGAGTGATGCTGAAGGAGAGTATACAAAATAAGCACTCAAGGCAAATATCCGCATATGGAGGGGTGCAGACTTACAAACTGAATCTGGCAGGAAATCAAACAAATCCCATTTTTGCACTTGCCCGTCGACGCACATACTCATAAATGCGCATTTTTCTATTCTGGTAGTCTGACTTTTTCTTCCAGTGACAAGCCTCTGAGCGCAATAACAGAAAAAAAAATTATGAAAAAAGAAAAAAAAACAAAAAACGAAAACACTCTGTGATAGTTTGTTATTTACTTTACAGCAGCAGTGAACACCGTGCGTTTGTCACAGTCATTCTGCCAATTTGGACCACCTGCTGCAAACACCCTGAAGGCAGCGAATGTTACCAAGCCAGTAAACTGTGACCAATTCTGCCTCTGCAGGTGGAGACGGGCAGGCAGCCGTTCACTCTGTGCCTCCATATCTCAAATGGCACGCACACACACGCGCGCAAACACACTCAAGCACAGGAAATCTGCAAAGAGGTGCACTCAGCACAAAACATAAACATGCGTAATTATTCGGCTTATCTGAAAAAATGAAGATTGGAGTGAAAATGTTTGCCAGCTTAACTGAACTGATGAAGAAGTTTGTTGGGAAGCGGTATGCTTGATGTGTGTTAATATTATTCATAATAAATGTTATAAAGTTAGACTTTTAAAAAAAAAAAAGCATATTTCTGTGTTTTTCTTTTCTCTAACTAAATAGATTTAAACAAGCTGACACAGTACAAACAGACTCCAGTAAAAAAGGTTGAAAGGATACGGTCAGTTTCACCAATGTGTCCTTTTTCTATTTTTGTAATAACAACCACACTGATGATGGACTAATTTAGCAATATAAATGAAATCAACTAAAACATTTATCGCCCATCCTAGACGAGACTGGCTACAAATGTTATCACCATGGCTACCAAGCTTATCTTTCATCTAAAGGGGTGGAAAAGTACTTTTGAAGTAGATTTAACAAAATACAATAAAAGTTTGATAAAATTTAATCTTGTACAAATCATTTAAAAATCATAGCAAACACCAAACAAACAGATCAAAATTCAGTCATTTTAAACCAAATGATTAAATAAAAGGAGACACAGTTATTCCTTCTAGTCACAGAACTTTACAATGTGATCAGTGTGTGTGTGTGTGTGTGTGTGTGTGTGGTCATGCATGTGTATTCTGACTGTAAGTTGTTAGGTCCATTATCTACTCACCTGACGGGCATTTCCAACATTCAATCCACCGCTGTCGACCTGATCCACTTTGTCTCCTTCTTCTTCCTCCTTCTCTTCTTCGTCTTCTTCTTCTCCTCCTCCTCCCTTTCGGTGCCCCTGCTCTGCCCTGGCAGTGCCCCCTCCCTCCACACCTCCACCAGCACCTCGAGCTTAAACACGGCAGGCAAACACTGAGTGTGTGAGCCAAGGGGGCTGGGACAGGGGCAGCGGCAATCCCCTCACTTTCACAAAAGCCGTGGCTATGCAGCCGGACACATCGTGGACTCCCGTTGCACGGAGAGTGTGTGTGTGTTTGTGAAAGAGGGAGAGAGCGAGAGCGCGAGAAGGAGAGGGAGAACGTGTGTCTGTGTGTGTTTGTGCGAAGTGGAGTGAGCTAGCTGATGTAGCTCTCCTCGGCTCTCAGACTCACTTCACTAACACTCTGCTCCGCTGCTTCTTTGAGATGGACTCGGATTAGGACACAGCCAGTGTGAGAATCTCTTTCTCTCTCTCTCTCACTCACTCTCTCTCCAGCCAGCATGCTCCCTCCCACCCTTCCTCTCTCCCGCTCACTCATTCATTCTCCTTGCTGAGCTTCTTTCTTTTCATTTCCTCTTGGGAAAGCCGTGCACACCAGTTGTCTCTGCCTTCAGCTGCTCCCTTTCTCTCCCTCCCTCTCTCTCTCTCTCTCTCTCTCTCTCTCTCTCAGTCACTAGTAAATATAAAAGGCATGCTTGTACAGCCCCTCGCCTCAGTCTCTCTCTGGCTGGCTCTCCCCCCCTAACTCGCTGTGTCTCATGCTTTCGTTTATCCCCACCTCCATGTGCCCCCCTCACTTTCTTTCTCACTGTCAAAGCTGCCTTTCAAATGCTGATTAGCAGCCAGAGTAAAAGAGGGAAAGAGAGACGGAAAGAGATGGAGAGAGGATGACTAAAACAAGTGGGAGATTCCATCACATCCAAACATATTGTAATGACTCCCCATCCTGTACATACACAAACACACACACACACACACACACACACATAAACTATCCTCAGCTGAACAATAAGTAGTACTCCAGAAATTGTAAGTAATTTTCTCCAATATTTCACTGTTTTACACTAAACTAAACATTTTTCTGATGTTTACTTTTGACGTGTTCAGCTTTCAATTTTTTCCATCTCTAAAAACACGGAAAACAAACAGCTTAGGTCCTAATCAATCAAAGCTGCCACAAGCGTGACATCACTATTTTTTAAGATAAGAGCTACCTTGGCTAAGGTTAGCGAAAGATCAAAGTTGTGTTTAAAAGTTTGACTTGTTAAAAGAAAGACACGAACAGAAACGACACGCTTTCCTGATCCTGCTATTCATCATCTGTAACTATGTTATCTACTTTCGCTTTGTCTTTTAAGACATAAACCTCATATCCTTTACTTCACACTGTGATTAACTGAGGTTATTTTAGGCAAGTCACCTTCAGTGACTAGCAGAACCATAACACTGTTGTAGAGAAAAGCAAAAAAGGATGTTTTTTGGAAAGAATAGTTTTTATACATGTTGGAATGATTATTTTTTTTGTTTTCTGATTAACAAGACTTTGGAGAACAATTAAAAAAACAAACAAAGAATTAATATTGTAATAGCATAGGGTTAAGGTTAGGCTCAGGGATGTTGACTTAGACCTTACATTTTGTAAACCTCCATAAAGTTCACAAACTAATGCACAAATGAGCTGCTAAGTTCAAAGTATTTACCTTGAAAGCATACTGGAAAGCATAAACTACAGTGAGTACAAGAAAATAATTATTAGAATGTAATGTGTTAAATTTGTTTAGATCACAGTAATAAGGAAGGATTGGTCTGTGTTTCAGTTTGGTTTAGCTGTGGCCTGAGAGTGTGTTTAATTGTTTAGAGAGAAAGGAATTTATGGACACTGGGATCTGGTGTCATAAATAAAAGGAGTCAGGAAGCTACAGTTGGGGGTTGCTGATGCTTGTACCTTTAATAAAAACTCCTAATTATTATAACTTAGAAGTAGGTTCGCAGGAGACTCTCCACCTGATCTGTAAATGTAAGACAACAAGAGGCCAACGACCCAGTGGATGCAGAGTGGTGGTCTCAATATTTGCAATATGTTAACTCTGTTTTGTATGTGGTCTAAAGGAATTTGGTGTAGCTTGGGTGAGGTTACTTTTATGACCCCCAGGAAGTCACGTACGCAGACACACACACAGCGCTTAAACTGTTACACTCACACATCCACACGCACACTCACTCACGTGCACTCACACATACGCACAGGTACGCACATACATTCACTCACGTGCACTCACATAGGCATACGCGTACGCGCACACATAGGCACTCACGTGCTCGTGCATACACACAGACACACAGAGTTTGCAGCACACCATGGGGGTTTTATGATGGGGTCGCTTCTATAAAGCTGGCTGTAACTAACAAAGGGGTGAAGATTTTGCAGAGGGACACCGGCCTCGTCTGCCCTTCTAGAAGATGCGTGCTTAAATGAAGATGAATAAAGACGAATAAAGGTTTTGTGAAATGACTACTGAGTCCGGTGCCGTCTCTGGAAGCTTCGAGGAATAAAACAAACCAGGGTAAAACTGATTTCGCAACACTACATATTTAATCACATCTTACTCTACTAAAACAGAGTAAGATGTCATTAAATATGTCTCTTGCAGGCACTCTTACTTGCAGAACTTCAGAAATATAAAAGTTTCTGGACCTTTTTAAACTCTAAAAGCTGTGATAATCACAAAAGAACCAATGATCATTTATTAATTTCACTCTAAAGTGTAAAAAAAAGTTTAAAAAAGCAAGATTTGAATTAGAATTATATTAGGAAGCTTATCCCAATATTACTTCACTACAAGACCATCGACTGCTTGTTTTTGGCATATCCCATTTAATAACAAAATCATCACCTGTCTGCAAAATGAATGATTAAATAAAAATAAACAAATAAAAAAGGCGGACTAATTGAACCATCTTGACGGGTTACCAATCATGCCAAAAGTTTGGTCAAATTTTGAGGTAAACATGATCATTACAGGCATTGTACAAAGGCAAATGAAGACAGAAGTAGGCCTATTTTAAAAGGGTATCAGTTATACTCTACCCTAATACCTCTAAAACCTTACTTTCTGTTATATATATAATGATGTAAGGTTGGATTTCCAAACTAAAGACAGACAAAATTTCAAATAAAGAGGTGAATGTATCTAATCCCCGGGCTTTCAACTTCTCTGAAAGGTTTTCAATGCTATTTTTTCTACTTTCGTGCTGAGGAGACATAAGCACATCACAGACCTCTTCTTTTCTTGTCTTTTGCTCGGTTGTGGACAGAGACAGGTGCAGACAAGAACAATGTGTAATTATGTCCGCTATAATTTTTGATCTCTTGCCTGCAATCATCGATAGAAAACACCAACAATCAAACAACTCCTTTTAAGCAAGCACTTGGCGACACTGGGAAGGAAAAACTCCCTTTTAACTCACGTTCTCAGGGATGTACTATTTACCAAACAGAAACATCCTGCTGTTCTCTGACTGTTGCAAATCAGGCTTTGGCTCAACATAAATGTATAGCTCAAGACGCAGTGTTACTATCTTTAGAGTTTGAATTTGGTAATTCAACACAGACAAAAGAGGGAAATGATGTTCAAAAGCACTGGTTTCTGCAAAGCCTGACACTCAGATGAAGAGCTCGGAGCTAAACGAGTTTGTTTAAAATATGTTTTTACATTATTGTTTAAAGACGCAAACATAACAAACAAGGATATCGAGAGGTCAAGTTGAGCATTACAGCCCCCACTTTTAATGGACTGGGCTGTCATGAGTATAGTCCTCGTCTATTCTCCAGAGTTGACCAATCACAGCTGCCATAGACATATAACTGATTTGAACAGATTCTGTTCACAAAGATTTGAAATATTTAGCCAGTCAGCAAAAGCCTGCTGCCTTCTACTCTGAATTAAATAACACCTTTGATGACACGTAGAATAGAAATACTTTTTTTAAAAAGTACAACGTCCAAAAATTGCAACTGAGGGCACTTAGTTACATACAGCTACTGTCCATAGTCCATGCATGCTAAGACTAACAAATCTACACACAGAGAGAGAGAAAAACACATTCAATCAAAGATGCAAACATATACCTGAACAAATAATCACACTCAGAGACTCACTCAAGCACTCTCTCTCCCACCAATCTCCCTCCCTCCCTCCTCCCCCGTCCCCTCTCCTCTATTCGTTCCCCTTGCCCTCAAACACTACTCAGAATATTGATACATCACCCCCTCCTCCTTCTTTTTTCTCTCTCTCTCTCCCTCTCCCTCTCCCTCCGTCTCTCTCCCTCCATCACTCACTTTCTCTACTGAATACTGATAGGCTGTCTACTCCGTGGTCTGAGTTTCAAATCTCTCCCTCCCTCCCGCTCCCTCTGTCGCTGCACCCGCTGCAAAAAACAGCAACATAAAAGAGGAAATAGCAGAAGTTAATGCACTGAGGTAGACATAAATTCAGTTAAGTACCATTTCAGATTATGTCAAGCTAAAAATGGGCTTAACATTGTGGAAGGGGGGGGGGGGGTTGACAGAGAGAGAGGAGGGAGGAGGAAAAGTGCTGCTTTGGTTGGCTGTCTCGCCAGCGGAAACTGGCCGAGTGGCTCGCAGCACAGTAGTGAACTGGCGGCCGGCGACAAAAGGGAAAAGACGTGTGAAAAGTTCAGGCAAATGAAGACGCATTCAGTGGTTTTTGTCTGACTCCCCCCACCGCCCCAACCTCATTGTTGGGCATGTCGACTGTGGCGCGGACAGGGTGGGGGGAAGAAGGGAGTGAATGAGGTCGTCAAAGAGTCCCAGAGAGCCCCCTCTACCTCACACACGCACATGCAAACACAGACACACACTCACACACAACATCTTGAAACAGCTGAGAGCAAGAAAGCGCAAGAATTAGTAAAAGAAAGAAAAATGGCACATACTAAACTGTCCTGCTTTTCCTATGGATGGAAAGGTGGCAAGGCCTTTCAGACTATTGGTGTATCTACAACTCTGAGTGTGTGTAAGATTAAGTGTGTGTCTGCGCGGGAGAGAGCTGTGTGTGCCTAGTCTCTTTGGAGGAGGTTTTCTGTCTGCATTAGAAGTGCGGCGCGTCTGAGATGCTGGTAGAGGGAGTGTGTGATTTTGTCCTCCAAGTCTTCCCCAGGCGTCCTTGAAGGAGAGTTGAGGGGAATATCTGACTGTGTGTGTGTGTGTGTGTGTCTGTGTTTGTGACAGTGAGCCCTCACAGGCTGAGTTTAGCACCAGAGGCTTGCCTTGCAGAGCAGCATTACAGGTGTTCCCTGCACAAATCAGGGTGCTCCTGGAAATAAGAGAAACCACAACCTGCAGCTGGAGAATTAACACGGCCTGCTGAATGAGAAATGTAATTAAATCAGGTGAATAAATAAGACTAAAAATGGGGGAAAAAATCCTTACTCAGTGTGTTTCTGTAAGTGTGGGCCTTCACATGCAAGTGGTATAGCGTGTAATGACTGTAGCAGTCAACAAGACAGTCACACCCATGTCTGACCTTGTTTCTCCGCCTGTCTACACATGCTATCGGCTGTGGTAAGTTCGATGTAGTGACAGTAAACTGCCCTTTCAGGAAAGCAGTGCAGACAGGTTAGTGATAAAGGAAATATCTTGTAAGGGGGGCTAAAAATATACCACATGCATTAAAAGACCAAGCTTTTTTAAAAATCACGAAAAACTGTTGTTTTTGCTGTGCGCAACAAAGCACCAGGAAGGTTGTGGAACTTGCATGAAACACTTTTGGTACTAAAAGATCCTAAGTGTAGCAAGAAACTATCCCCCATTATTATAACAAAGTTCACACTGGCCGTACAAACACTGACAGCAGCCCATTCTTTCATTTTCATTACATCCTATACCTTAGGTGCACAGATGCAACTTGTGGAAGTTTAATGTGGAAGAAGTGGTGAAAAAATGGAGCTAAAAAACTAAAACTAAAAACTAGATAGAGCAAAACATGTCAAATTAACCGGCGTGTTAGCTGTAGTAGTACCAGCACCAACCAATAACCAGGCCTCACATTTACAGGCGGCTGCTGCTGCTAGCACCCACTGTGGAGAAGTCCAGAAGGAGGGACAGCAGTCACAACAACAGAGTGAGGAAGAGAGAGAGAGGAAGGTGAAATTAACGTGTTAAGAAAATAGATGGAGGAATATAAACAAGGAGTAAAATGCATGGGTGCTTTCACTATGAGCCACTGCTAACAGATAAAGTGCAGCTTTTAACTGTCACATGCTGCAGTCCAGCTAAGAACTCACCTAACAACAGCAGCACCAACCAAGCAAAATGTCAATATCTCTCTCTTTCAAAATGTCCTGATCAAAAGTTTTAGACCATTTGAAAAATAACTGCAATAAATTGAATGCTCAAAAAAATGTTTTTTCTCACTCTCGTTTCTTCTTGCTGCACGTTGAAGTTCTACTTGGAATCTCGTTAAGATCCAGTCATGCAAAATATGATTTTTCAAGTGGTCTTAAACTTTTGATCGGGACTGTAAACATGTAATGCCAAAGGCCTGCTCGGTTTAACAAGTGGCAATCTAAGTTACTGTTGCCTTCCCTTCAGCTTGAAACATTCTGGCTTCACATTGATGTCAGAGGTCTTTGTCCTGTGATCTTGGACATCAACGAGGCACTTTCAGCTGGAGAACTGCTGCTCATTGGATATTTTCTCTTTTTCAGACCGTTCCCTATCAACCTTAGAGACTGTTGTGCAGGAAAAGTCCCAGTATATCAGCAGTTTCTGAAATACTCAGACCTGCCCATCTGACCCCAACAACCACAGTATCATGACACAGTGTGTAATAGGCACGCTGGTCCACTGTGTCCATTTGACACTTTACCAGTTTCAGTACGTAGCAGTAAGCTGCTGAGATATTTTATTTCAGGCCAATATGAAAATAATCACGGGAAAGCGCTTAAACGGACATTACTGACACATTTACATGTAAATCCATATTAGCTGCCTAGCTTTATCATTTCTGGAATGTACTTCTTACCTTCCTTGCTCACTAGAGACTTCTTCCCTTTAAATATATTCTCTCCTCCTGCTGTAACTTCTGCATGCATGTCCATTTCACGTTTTGGAGAGACAAAGCGTGAAATAGACACAACGGACTGGCGTGTCTATTACACGCTTTGCTCTGAAGTGTCACAGAAAGCCACTATTCTTCCCTATTCTGATACTCAGTGACTGTATTGAGCTCCTGTGATTGGCTGATTAGGCATTTGAGTTAACAAATAGTTGAACAAGTGTACCTAATGAAGTGACTGGTGAGTATATTTTCTGTTGCCACATTTTTACCTGTAAAAGTAACTCTAACTACTAAATAAGTTTGTTTATTTTAACTAGGGGGAGGAGTAAACTTATAATTAAGTACACTATATTCACATTTACTTATTGCTTATTCCTTATTTGAAGCAGGAAAGGAAGGAAAGTGAGGCTACAGAAAAGACTAAAAGCATAAACGCTCGTTCTTAACCCAAAATCTGACTTGGCGTAAAAACTCTGACATGAGATGCAGCTGAAATTTATTGGGAAATAAAAAAACAACTTCTGTTCGGGGATCATAGGTGACGACTATTTACTTTACTTTACAAAAAGAGAACTTATGGGTGCTATTTAAGCTTAGGTCACAAACAATGGGAAGAAAACCTGTGGCGGTTTTATGTTAAAGACAGATGAGATTTATAACGTGTCCCCTGACCTAACACACCCTACTTTCTGTTTCCGTAGAAAGTAAACACAGCGAAACTGGCAGCAAAAACACACTGCGTCTGTGCGCTGAATGAAAATGAAGCTGTTCTGCTGAAAACTTCCAAAAATAAACCAACCTTAAAAACAATGAATTTCAACATACCGTATCTAAATGTGCAGACAATGACTAATTGTGTGATCTTTAATGATTAATCAACAAAATGCACCAGATAAATAATCTTTGATTTTTTGGATAATAGTCACCTTCTGCTAATGATCATAACTGTTAAAGCAAAATTATAACATTCCAAGTCTTGTTCTAAGTAATTAAGAGGTAGTTTCTTCATGACATTCAAGTAGCAACTGTTAAAGTGGAAGTCCTACAATTGAGCACATAAACAACAGTTTACTGGTGTTTATTAGACCAAAATGACACCATTAGGTTGCATTTTTCCCCTTCCCTATACAGCAGCGCATAAAAGGCATAAAAGGGTGTTTGAAGATAACTGCCACAGAGTAGATAATATTCCAAATCTATCAGACAATAATTCTTTGAGGGCATGTGGCCATTAAGGAGCCATTTCTCCTTTTTGTTGAATATGCTCCTCCATATTTCATTGAGTTGCATATCTGCCTCTCACACTGTCTGCCTGCATCGCTATTCTCTATTCAACAGTGACCCATTGCTCCCTGCCATACAATCCTTCACCTTTCTGGGCTTAAAAGTAATTACCACTTTAATTTGCTGTCCGCTTTTGTGCATGCCTGAGTGTATCTGTAACTGACTGGAGTGCCTGCTGTGTGTATTAATGTGTGTGTGAGGGGGGTACATGTATGCATACAAGAGATAATAAAGGGCGCGTATTCACATAAATGTGAGTAGAGGTGAAAGAATTAGTCAATAATTGATTAAACGAACTGACAACACTCGATAATTAATTGTTTGTTTCTCAACCATAAATAAAGCCACTGTCTTCCATTTTTGCATCTTAATTGTGATGATTTGCTGCTTCGGTATTTCACAAACAAGCGTAAGACATTGCGACTGATTCAAACAATTAAATGAAGCCCCCAAAAGGTGTGCACATCTTTATGTTTTCTGAGTAAAAGCATTAATGTTTTGCATGCATACGTGTATAAGTGGTTTGCACAGATCCATGATTGGTGAGTACCTCTGCAGCTATTATTTGCCTTGATAAAATCAAAATATGTATTCACATGCATGACTGTGAATAGCTGTGATTTTCTTAAATATAGAAGTGTAACAAAGTGCTATTGACGTGTGTGTGTTTTTTTAAATATATGAGTGCTGGTGTGTGTGCGTGTTTATGGTTAGCCTCCCATTGGCCCAATTACTCCACAAGCAAAACCCCAAAGCTTCCAATCTCTCCTCTAAA